CACGAGCATTTGTTTCTGCCAGCTGCCAGAAGATGCCCAACGATACTACCACTCTTCAGGCAGTGTGCGTTTGATGTCCGATCAGATCAGGGATTTTGTTGTGTTGTCCACCGCCGCCTCTTTTTTCGACAAAGCAGTTGCCGTCTCCTTCTCGGTCAACTTCTCTTCATCTCACCGCAGACAGACGTCATCACTCCCACCGTCATTGAATCTCCAGAATATGAGCGGAGCTCCTGTCCTGAGACTGTGACATTCGTTCCCTTCTTTCGCAACCCGACACTACGCAACTGGTTTGTGACCGGTGAAGATGCGGGCAGCAGTGCTTGGGGGATCAACGCAGAGATCGACGAGTCGATAGGGCCAGGTCCGGCATCAAGATGTCCGAACATGGCAGCAATGAGTCGAGACGGTCCTCCTCACAGACGTCCAATCAGTCGGCCGAATTCAAGAAACCCAAGACCCTCCGGGGTGCCCCCAAGCGTCATGGCTCGAAACACTCCTCTAAATCTTTCGAAGAGGACGACCCTTCTCTGACCTCGTTCCCCTCGTTTTCTCCAGAGGCAGAAACAAAATCGGCAAGCGTTGCTCAAGAGGCGGTCCCCAAACACATACGTACGATATCACAGAAGGCAAGGGATAGGAAGGCCACTCTGGCAGGCTTAACAAGCGCATCCCCTTCGCTCAATAGACAAAATGCTCTGTTTGACGATTCCCCGCGATCATCTTTGGAGATCCCCGGTTCTTTGCATCTGGCTAGCGACGAGCACATAGAAAGACTCATTGCCAGGACTGGTGCTGTCAAACTGGTCCGTCAGTATGCCTCCGATCTTGCTCAAAGAGATGCGGAGATTTCTGCTCTACGAATTCGAGCAGATCACAGGGAAAGAGAACTGAAGAAGATCCTGCGCGAGGCCAATGTCCCTACGGCAGAGGTAGAGAAAAGATTGCTCAGATTGGAACAGGGAGAAAGTGACTCGAATGTCCATTCTGGCTCCGTGGATCGGACAGCTGCGTTGCTGGACGGGATGATGAGCGAAGCCATGGCGGATGGCATTGTGGTCAACAGTCCTTTGGACACTGATTTCCCGGCTGGTCATGTCTCAGATACTCGAAGCCCTCCATCAGCATCACACGCGGACTTGGAGATGAATCGCAGTAGGGCTGGTTCCATGGCATCGAGTCTAGCCAAGGCAAGCCGAACCCCCAGCAGGGCCAACAGCAGTGTGAGCGACAGTAGCCAGGATATGGAAGCCACGTTACGACCCCGGGTACCAAGCTCAACTACCTCCAAGTTGTCTGGTCTGCAGAGTATATTCCAGCCTCCCTCGCAGTCTTCGAGCTACTTCATTGGCGGCAAAAGCGTCAAGAAGCCCAAGGCCAGCGATGAAGCCAGCGTGCGCTCTAGTCAGTCTACTCGATCCTTTGCCTCGTGGACACAAATTTTTGGTGGAAAGTCCCAACCTGGTCGATCTAGGGCATCGTCACTGGGACAGCAGAATGTACCTGGGGAGGTAGAGCCGGCTGCACCGAAACCACGCATGAACCCGCCTCTGGTTGCCACCAAATCGTCTGCCTCACTCCCAACAACTGGGACGGTCAAAAGCCGCCCCCCAGCAAAGCGCGTACCTACTGCCACGCGACTGTCCGCCAGTCCAAATCATGTGCGGAAGGGGTCAAACGCAAGCAGCCTTCCTCCAACTGTCGAACTCGATTCGATGATTGAAAGTTCTCAGCTACCTCCCACCATGACAACACAGAATGTGGACAACACCGGGCTATTGACGGACCGCTTCGGCTTCATCTACGACCAGAAACGGCGGAAAAGGCAAAGCCTTCCGGTTCGAGCACACCGACGAAACAGGCTGAGCGGTGCCGAAACCATTGCTAGTTTTAGAGCTGGCGAACATGCACAAGCTGATGAACTCTCAGCCGAAAGACCCATCACGCCCGTCTCAGTGGATGATGAGGCACCTAAAAAGTCGTGGCAAGAGTACCTTAAAGTGCCCGCGGCGCTGTCTTCGGGAAGGCCTAAGGAATTACTTTCACATACGCCGTCTGCTGGAGCTGTTGTCACTGTCAGTTCAGTGGACGCCGCAGGCACCACAACGCCACCGCGTCGAAGCCGGGAGGCCTCCATTTCGGTCTCTGCTGCTTCACAAAAGGCACTTCCAACAACCAGTGTGGTGATGGAACCGCAGCCCTCAACCGTGACGGCGATCTCTGCCGACTTTACACCGGATTCCGAGTCCGACTCTGTGGGCGACTCCGGCCCAGCGAAGTTACTTTTGGAGCAACTAACAGAACTGCACGACGCACTTCAAGCTGAAAGAGCTGTCCGGTGGAACGACTTTCTACGTCGAGTCAGAGCGGAAAGGGCAAACAACGCCGACCGCGCTAGCAACAGCAACACGCCTGAAGCAGACCTTCTCAGCGGCGAACTTATAGGGATAGCAACCCTTGGGCGCTCCACAAAGACGAAGGCAAAGTACATGCACTTCAAATCACTGGTTCTGGCTGGGATACCCGTTTCTCTCCGGCCCAAGATTTGGGCCGAGTGTTCTGGGGCAAGTGCTTTGAGAATTCCGGGCTACTATGAAGACCTCGTTGCCCGATCACAAGACGGCACTGACATCGACCCTGACATTGCAAGCCAAATCAAGGCGGACGTTCACCGGACACTCACCGACAATGTGTTCTTCCGTCAAGGGCCTGGCGTCCAGAGGTTGGAGGAGTTGCTGAGGGCCTATTCCTTGCACAATCCACGCATTGGGTACTGTCAAGGTATGAATCTCATCACAGCGTCTTTGCTGCTCATTTGTGCGACGGCAGAAGATTGCTTTTGGCTTCTCGTTGCCATTATTGATGTCATTCTCCCGAGTCAATATTTCAGCTCGACCCTGCTTGTGGCTCGGGCTGATCAGGTGGTTCTTCGGCAGTATGTTGCGGAAGTTCTGCCAAAGCTCAGCGCGAAATTGGATGAGTTGGGTGTTGAGTTGGAGGCGTGCACGTTTCATTGGTTCTTGTCGTTGTATACGGGCGTCTTGACGGGCGGCGAGGCCTTGTATCGCGTTTGGGATGTCATGTGAGTTTTGTCTGCCACTCGATTCGGAACGTTGTGCTGGAATGCTCTACTAATCGCGCATTTTCTCCGCCACAGTCTGTGCCTCAACAGTTCCGACGCTCCTCCACAAGCCTTGAACCAACCCAAGACCGCGCTCTCTGTGGAGATGCCATCCCTCGGTCTGACAAGTGGCCCATCTACACCTGTGACGCCATTGCACCCTCAAACCGAACCTAACTCCACCGCAGACGACTCCTCGGATGAGCATGATGGGACATCGTCGCCGTTCCTCTTTCAATTGGCCCTCGCTTTGCTGAAGCTCAATGAAAACGCCATCCTCGCACTCGACTCCGCGGCGCAGGTGTATACGTATATCAACCACAACATGACGAACCACGCCATCAGCATTGATGCCCTGGTACAAGCAAGTGAGGCGTTGAGGACGAGAATAGTAAGAAAGGAAATGTTGGAGAGGAGGAAGCAAGCGATCAAAGAGTTGGGACCGTGAGTGGCAAACACGACCAGCACTTAAGGTCAAAAAGAAGACGAAAGAAGTATACAATCACCAGGAGGAATTTCTCGAAATTCTCGATCAAGATACAACAGTTGGGATGAAGGAGTGGCTGGTCTTGGGCTGGAACTTGAACTTGGAGTCTTATCAGGATAACGACTTCGATTCCAGCGACGTTGACCATCTCCTGGATTCTGCATCGTTAAAGGACATGAAGAAAGAGGAAAGAATGATCAGAAGGTGTGTGTGTCTGGGCGCCGGTGACACAACAACCGGCAGGCCCAAGTGATCAGATGCGCACACAAGGAGGGAAATGGAGTTGAAAAAGAGGCAACGACTTTTCTTTTGTTGTCAGCTGTTTGTTGCTTTTGTCTACCAGGCACGTTTATCGTTTGCTATATATGCATCTTTACATGATACCCCCGGGCGACCATGCGAGAAAAAAGCGAGTATGGAAACAGAGCAAGCTGGATAGGAGAATGCAAACTGGAATAAATGGGAAAAAAGTTTTAGATTATGAAGTCGATATATTGAACAATGCATTCTCGGCTGGATTGTTGGAGTCTTGTCTGTTCGTTTATTCATCTTTCCATTCTTTATTTTCATCCATGGCCTGGTGTTTTCATCGTAGCTCGTATCTATTCCCCAGCTCTCTCTCTCTCTCTACCTGGTACGAAGTCTACGGTGGATATCAGCTACGTATACCAGGTCCTTGTACAGGGTATGCGTGCACCTCACAATCCACAATACCTGGAGCAATCAATGTTCATGAGGTCTAAGGTCTAAGGTCTGAGCGAAAAGGGTCATTCATATACATACTCCCATGACTCATAACTGGTTGCTTACCTACCTAGATACCCAGGTAGGTTAAGAAGGCGATGCTGTCTGTATCCAAGGACAGTTACCGACCTAGGTATGGTATGGTGTGGTGTGGTGTCGTATGGTATGGTATGTATGCCACATGCGTGCCCAATCTCCAATCTCTCATCTCCCATTCCATTCGACTCGCTGTGCTTTGTGGGATAATGAATGAATGTGCCTCTGGCTCTGCTTCGCGATACCCTCTCTGTCTGCCATGATCTCTTCTGCTGGTGCTTCTTTCAATCCCACCCATTTCCTGCTCTGAAAATACTCAATCCTTTTTTTGGGGGGGTTTTTCTGTTTCGATTTCTTTTTTCGTCTGTGCTTGTTGCTCGTCAAAGGAGAGGAGTGTAGAATTCGTCAACTCATCTCGCCAATGTCAGACCAGACCGGGTCGTTGTATTCACCCCCAACCGAGAAGTGCAGAGATCGTTGAGCTGCCAAATCAGCTCGTGAACTCGTGAACTCGTGAAACACTCCGTGCTCGATCCTGGATCACACGATGGATGACAAACTCGCGGCACTACTGAAACACTCCGCGAGGACGCATGAAACCCGTAGGCTCCCTCAAAATGGTCGAGGGGGCAGCCGATGGGTCAGGTCGACATTGTCGGCGTCGGCGTCGTCTTGGCCGTCGTTCTCGTCCTCCACCAAGATGAACTCGTTCTGTCCCTGCTCTTTGACCTCGCCAAACAACTCGAGCAACTGCTGGATCGTGGCTCGTTTCCCCATGCTGTCCGGCCCGATGGCACTCGTGACCTCGACGTCCTTGCGTTCCTGCATGCGAATCAGATCCTCGTCGATGGAACCCTTGACCACGAAGCGGAGCACGTCGACACGGTTTTCCTGCCCGATCCGAAACGCGCGGCAGTACGCTTGGGCTTCGACCGACGAGTTGAACCACAGATCCAGAATGATGACCTTGCTCGCCATGCTCAGGTTCAGACCCACCCCGCCGGCCTTCAAGGAGCAGATCATGATGAAGATGTTGGGATCGTGCTGGAATTTGTCGATCGCCCGTGCTCGCGCGTCAAGGGACATTTTGCCGTTGAAGAGCACATGGCCCCATCCCTCGGCCGAGCAGACCTTGCTGAAAATCTTCCCGAGCCCCAGGAATTGGGTGTAGACGAGCACCTTTTGTCCCTCGTCCTGCTTCTTCCAGTTGAGGATGGCCGCCTTCGCCGCCAACAGTTTGGCAGACGGGAGGAGATCGCCACCCGCTTCCAGCCAGTCCAGGTCTTCCTCCTCGTCCTCGCTGTTTTCATCCGAGGTGTTACTACCATGGCGGAAACCAGCACTTCTCGCCCCCCCTTTGGCCTTTTGCGTCAGCTTGGCTAGCTGTCTCTTCTTCTTTTCCACCTTGGCCGCCATCTCCCGATTGTTGAAACCGAGCTCTTTCAGGCCGCTACAGGCGGACCACTCTTCGAAAAACGTCTGGCATTCGAGGCACGCCATCTTCTCTTCCCCTCTCTTTGTCCGCTCTTCGTCCATGGCCGTCATGCATTCTTGGCAGTACACGTGGAAGCATGAAGTACAGACCGGTTCGTCGGGAGGTTGGCGACATTTGGCACAGATTGACCGAAGATGCACTTCCGTCCAGGTCTCGGATGTGGCCAACGCCCGAAGGAACTTTCGGAACTGGAAGGAAAGTCCGTAGTCGGAACCCGTGGCAAGGTTTCCATCGTCTTCGACATCTGGCGTCACATTAGCCCCTTCGAGCTCCCTGGTCTGGAATGTCTTGAGCGTGTTTTCGTTGTCAACGAGCATCCTTCTCAGAGCTCGCATCATGTTCACCGCAACGTTGTCTCGAGAGGCCGACACTTCTTTGGCCGCCAACCTCCACAGAGTCTCGATGTCTGCCGCCACGAACAATCGCTTCAACAGGTCTTGACACAGCATGATGTGCGAACAGAGCATTCGGAGACGCATCAACATGCCCAGAATGTTGCCATAATTGCTGTTGAGGTTCCCGGATGTCGAGTACGTGTTGATTCGCTGGATATATCTCGACTTGACAATGTTGTAGATATTCCTCTCCACGGCGTTAAATTCGACCAAGACGGTGTTGTGCGTGATACCAGGCAGTTTGACGATGGGAGCATTGAACAGCGTGTCCACGTGGGTCCTCCTCAACATGATACCCCTCAAGTAATTGTGAAGCCTGCCCAGATTCACTGGGTCTTTATTGATCCGATTGTTGCAGAAGTTGTGGCAAAAGGTCGCGTAGTCCCCCGTATGAGGAACCCTGAGGAAAGAGAAGTACGGAAAGAGCTCTTCGATGTAGTTCAGGATCGGGGTCCCTGTGATGCACCATCGATAGATTCCCGTGAGAGCACGCACGGCAATCGAGGTCTTGGACGTATGGTTCTTGATGTGATGGGCTTCATCGAGGACGATGCGGTGGAACTTGATCCGATGAAGTGGCCCGACATTGTTGAGGAAGTAGTCCTTCCACCACTTGTTCTTTTGCTCATCGGACGCCAAATTCTTGGGCGGCTCTGCCAGAGGATAGCTCTTCTGGACCTCGCCATAGGTTGTCAGAATCACATCGTACGCCGTCAAGTCCGCGACGATATTGTTGCTTTGAAGACGAGAACCGGAGTGGAAACGGAGAATTCGACCCATGGCGTTCCCCTTTACGTGCTTGTCCATTTCCTGCATCCATTGATTGAGCAGGGTAGGCGGTGCAATGATCAACGTGGTTTTGATAGCACTTCCCTCATCCGCTTTGCCATCCAGGATGTTCGCACTGCCCAGGTTAGTAACGATCAAACGCTTGCGATATTCGACTCACATCATCTGTATTGTTTTGCCAAACCCCATTTCATCGCAGACTAGCCCACCCTTCGGTTTTGCTTCTCCGGTCTCCCGTTCTCGCATGAAGGCAGCGCCGAGCAGTTGGTGGTTGTAGAGCGAAGACTCCATGCCTCGAAGCTTCCACCCGCCGTGGTTGTCTGATCTCACGGCGCCACGCCCTTTAAATTTCTTGGTGGCCTCCAAGACAGCTGCTCGATCCGAATTGGCAGAGCCACGCTCAGCCGACGGGATGCTCGCAATGAGTTCTTTCAGTGCCGTGGCTTTGTTGGACGACGTGAAGGTCGGCATGTCCGGTCTCGAAGCGTTGGCTTGGGCAGCGCCCACGATGTTGGTCTGTCCAAGGCTTTGGAGATTGCTCAGGTTCGGCCGTCGAGGCCGACCTCTCTTCTTGTAGGACTTTGGGACGTCGCCGTTCTGGTTCGTGGCCCGTTTCTTCCTTGGCTGACGATCTTCTGTGAAAGCCGCTGCCTTTCTCTTTGGCTTTCGACCCTCGCCGAAGCCGGCATCAATGCCAGCAGAGATAGCATCTTGTAGCTCCTTCTTGGAGAGTCGGTTGCGAGTTTTTGGCGCTGCTCCCTCCTTTGGTGGAGGACCTGGTCGGGTAGGAATCTCTGGAACGAATAGCGAATCTGCCTCCTCATAACCTGCAGGGAGGTCATCTCGCGTGAGAGTATTGTTTACTACAAGCTTCCTTCTTGCAATGTCCCGGAGCCGTCTGTGTTCAGCAACCTTCTCTGTAGCGAATAGAATGTCGTCTGCTTTAGTATTTGTCTTTGCGGCCACCTTTTTCTCATACTCTGCCTTGCGCAGGGCAAAATACGCACCTGCTTGTGCATCTTCAGCGGCGGGGTCCTTGTCGATGACGGCGTTCCAATCCATCTCGTCGCCGTTTTCTTCAATAGGGTTGTTTGATGGCCCTGCAAAGTCCCAAGCGGACTCATCAATCGCGTCGTCACCGTCCTCAATATCAATAAGGTTGGTCTTATTCTGGTTGTACTGCTGAAGAGCTTCGAGGCCGTGCATCTCCGAGTCTTCTTCCGGAGGGAAGGGAGGCTCTGACGGTCCTCCCAAATCCACCTGTTCTGGATGATTGCTAGTATTGTACTCGTCGAAAGACTCGGGGCGTGCCATCTGGGTAGCATCAGGGTGTGGCGCATTTGAACCATCATCTGCGGCCTTGACAAGATCGACGTCAGTGTGTCCGTCCTCGAGCTCGCTCTCAGCTAGTCCCTGCTTCCCACTGTGTATTTTGTCATCTGCATCACCATCGTGACGCGACCCAGCATCTTCTGCCATCGTGTCGTGGTTCTCGATCGGGGTTTGAGCAACTGGCGTATCCTTCTGCCCATCACTAGGCTCAATTGGCATGATTGGTCTAGAATTGGAGTTGGGCTTATCCGGCTTGAAATCTTCCTCGTCATCATTCGACTCATGGCCCGTGGTAACATTTTGTTCGTAGTCCAACTCAGCAAGCTCAGATTCAGTCGTGGTGCTAGTGGAGGTCGCGATGGGGTTATCGTCGAACCCATTGTCGTGGTTCGTCGAGGTATTGAAGTCGACGGGAAACGTCTTATTTGCTTCCTCGGCCGGCTCAGCTTTGACGGTTGGGTTCTCTGGTAACACTAGCTGGCACTCGGATACTGAGTCGCTATCTGAGTCATCTGAGATGGCGATGACATCCTTGTCTGGGGCGACAGAGGAGCCGGGCGACCGAGCCATGGTGATCCACGACGATCGTGGGTGTACGAAGCAGGCCGAGCTTCCACAGTACCAGATCTTCTGCCGAAACACCAAGTACAGAACGAAACGCCAAAACGATTCAGATCAAAGATTGGAAGGAGGAAAAGAATGATAGAGATGGAAGATGTTAAGAAGGTAGAAGTAAGAGATCAAAAAGCCTTGCGCTGGAGACGATGTCATAGGCAGTACTAGTAACCATGCCAGGTTTACTGAGCAGCCCTCATTCCAGAGTGAAGCATTGGTGAGAACGCACAGCGACCACGAAATGGATGGGGTTTAGAGACCACGAAGAGCAATGGAGTAATGAGAAACAAACCTGGAGGTGGTCATGGAACGAAGAGAGAAGTGAGGTAATGTGTTCCTCAGGCGGTAGCCTTGGGCAAGAAAGGTGACAGCCATGCGAGGTTGAGAAGAAGAACAAAGGAGTTTGAGCACTGAGGATTTGCCATTGAATTGGACGTCGAGCGCTCGTTGTAGCCATGGTATTCCAATGAGATAGTTGGATCAGGCGCACCTCCTGAGCCTGCCTGTAGCACAGGATCCAGCTCTTCAGGTGTGCGCCATGCCCTTCATCTTGCTCTCCTCCTCCTAGTGTGAGGAACGGGAGACATAGAGGTTCTTGAGCTTTGTGCACAGGACACAGTCTGTAGGAGAGAGAGGAGGCATCGTCGTTGAGCTGCATCGTTTGATAGTCGCGGCAGACGTAGCAGCATAGCACTCAGTGTCCAAGGCATTAGAACACAAGCATTTGGGGGCCAAGAGAACTGGTATCCGGCGTGTACCTAGGTACGAGGTAATAATAATATGATGTATCTCCTTGTATGCAGTTTGGACGAGAGTGAGTCGGATGGAAGATTTCGGGACGGACGATGTCGGTTTAGCGGATTACCCGATGTGGTTAGCTTCCGGCTGGTTTCCGGCTCTTCACCGTAAGTTGGAGAATGATGCCGTCACGCCGCTTTGTTCCCCCTTCGTCGCCCACTCTCCAAATCCCTAAAGAACAGACAGGCACAGGACAGGTTCAACTCACTCCTTACATCCTAGTAAGCTTCTACAACAGCAAAGCACTGTGCTGCCTTGCTGTCCCTGACCCCTTCCACACCGTCCCCGAGCACGGTCGTCCTCTGCGATTCACAACATGTCTCGATGTCTGTGTCTACGCCGTCGTCCTCTCGCCCTTTCTCCGAACCCGATCTTGCGCGTCCACTCAATATCCCGTGCTCCAATTCAGTCTACTATCGCGCCTTGATCCCTATGTGATGAACCGTCTGCGAACCCTTGAGACTCTGAACATTGTGTTGAAATGCTGGGGAGACTGATCCAGGGCTATGCCAGAGGTGGCCAGCTTGAGAGTGCCACGGAAGAAACACACACCCGCAGTCTCCTTTGGCCGGAATCGAATGCGGAGGGACGTGTCAGCTCTCTATCACCACCCAGTACTCCATATGGCTCTCCTACGACCCGTGTCTCACCTTTTGATGATCGGATTGGGTTGGAATTGAACGAGTCCAAAGACTTGAGGCTCATTGTTGCCCAGGATGCCTTCGGAACCAACGACCGTCCCTTACTGCTCTATGACACCCACTTTGTGGAGTCAAAGGAGCCCAACTTGGGTCAACGCGCCCCTGTCCCCTCTCCTGCTGCTGCTGGAGCACCTCAGCGTGGAGGCTCTGGGATTCCTATTTTAGGACATGCGAGGAATCGAAGCTCTACCATTTCAGGAGCTTCGGCATCGTGGGCGCGCCCTCACAAGGAGTCGGAACCGACGGACCACCTAGGCAATGTGCTAGACTGTATGTTTGGCGTCAGCAGTGCTGCCAAATCCGGATCCAGCACAAAATTGCACTTCCTCCCAGGCGATCGAAGTCCTGCTAGCGACCTAAGTTCGCGTGCACCAACCTCAAATCTGTCTGGCACGGCGCCTTCTCGTGCTCCGCTCTTGAGAGCAAGGACAGCTACGACGACCGTTAACAACCCGAGTCAAAACAATCCTTCCAGAGAATCTGACCCCGAACCACGGGACGCCGTTCTGATCACTCGTATGTTTTCGGTTACGCTTCCTGAGGCTCAAGATGATTTGAGGCAGCGACGAAGGTCTTCCGCCGATCCCACCACCTCAATCAGTCCGCTGTCGCACGGGCTTGAGAATCAGATGGGTGGCTCCCTCCACAGCAAGAAACCCAAACTCGTAGAGAAAAAGACTCCTGTCTTTGCAATTGGCTTGCTTTTCTACCTGCCTCGCCCTGGCGATGTGCGTTCAAACACGTCGTCGGCGCGCCCTTCATCAAGAGCCTCATTTACGCCGTCGTCGACCCCGAATTCCTATGGATCGGACTCCTTTTCGTCCTGGACATTCCTGAACGCAATTCCCGAGTATTTGTGGTCTAGCGACACCTCCAGTCAGCTAACTGACCGTGGCATTGACATTATTGTGGGAAACTGGGAAGTTATTCTGAGGAGCCTTGCAGTTGTTGAGACGCTAGCACGGTCCGAGATTGGCGAGCTTTTGCAGGAGGTGAATCTGGCGCTGATCACCTCCGCAGCAAAGGCACCAAAAGGTCCTTCCGAACAACGTACCAATCAGCGCAACGTCTATCTTCGGTCTCCAAACAGACTGGCGCAGGTGGCCGAGCTGCAACGCGCCGCCAGGCATACTCTATGGAGAGTGTCATATGCGCTGCGCATTCCGCGGGTGTACACGGGCCTAGGGCTTGATAACGGGGGTCACTGGCTTGACGAAGCACGCTATCTTGTGCGACTCTGCGGAAATAAACAGCAAAACTTTTTTCTTTTCAACCTCTTGACTGCATTTCTTGGAAACCATACTGAATGGCTCGAAAGGCTAGGACCAGACTGGTATCGAAGACAGCTCAGAGTTTTGAATAAGGGGAGGCCTCGACCCACTAACGTGGCCTCTCGAACAGTCATCGTCTGCGAGAACCGATCAATGGCTCGCCGCATCATTTTTCTGCTGGCATCATTTCTGCCCCGGAATGCAATCACGAAGCTTCCCTCTGAGGTCATGTCCCCGCTACTCACGCCTGATATCAGCTCCTCTTCGCCTATCCATAGGATCATCCATGAAGATTCCCTTCGTCGCCATGCTCATAATAAGTCGCGAGATGGAACCGTCACATTCTATCGCCGCGATGGTGCTGGGTTGTCCAGCAGTGTCTCTTCGTCTGAGAGCGCCAGTGGTATCGCTAGAGCCTTCCGCAGAAGTTCTCGGTCGCGAATCTCCAACGCTGAGCTTACCCTGGGCATGAGACAGGTCTCCGTATTTTCTCCGGGAGATAATGGTGGTAGTTTCCACAAGACCAATCCAACTAGCTCGACAGCCACGCCAGGGCTGGGCACACCCGTGCCACACTTTGCGACAAAGGCTGTTGATAGCTACTTTCCTGAAGGCGCCGTCGTGGACAGCGAAGAGACTGGAGCTAGCGCTGATCTTGCTCGAATCTTGAGACGCGACAGCGTGAGTCAATCACAGTCCCATCAATCGAGTATGAACTGGGGATCGTTGATAAGCAACGTGTCTGGACTATGGAACAAGAGGCAGGACTCGACCGCTTCAACAAGTGAGATCACGAGTTCGTTTGACACTGGAAGCCTGAGTGATCGCCGCCGATTCGCCCCTAAATCTGTGCAGATCCATGGGAGACAGGCAAGTCGGTTGGAAGCAATGGTTGACGAAGCCGGTCGGCTTCGAAAGAGTAAGCTGAGTCAAGAGGAAGATTCCACAAGCTTGTACCGACCATCGACGCTCCCGAGCGAGGTGCACCCCCCCCGGCTAACAGTCGACGAGAGGGATGGAGTTGTTGATGTGGACATCAATATTCCTGGGTTTATCGGTTGGAACGAGGGGAAAGGCGCCTCGCCCCCTTCGTGGATGCATCATCGATCCCCCTCTTTTGCGAGTGTGGACGAAGCGGGCTCCATGTACAGCACACATTCACGTCACGCCGATGTCACAGGGTGCAAATCTCCAAATGTTGCCGGTTACCTGAAACGGTTTCATGAAGACTTCATACTACAGGGAGTCAAGCCGTACACCGAGCTTCAAGACGAAATCAGGAAAAGCATGTCAAGAGAACCAACTCCTTCTGATGATATGTCTCGATTGCCTGCAGACACAGAAAACAATGGAGAACAATGGGTTACTGTTTGCACAACACTACTTGCTGACCTACGGAACTTCAGCATTCAGCGTCTGACCCTGAGACGACTGACACAACGAGGTACCGCCGGCGATACTGGTACAGGTGCTCCAAGCCAGTCCGGATCAGACAATGTCCCACATGGTTCCGGAGCATCATCCAGCGCTGAGCTAGGATCGCCAGCGACTCAGCTGGAGCAGTTTGACAGTGAAATAGTCATGGACTTCGATACAACACTTACTGATGCAATCGAACGTGTCCTAAACGAGACAGACCCGGGGAGACAGAAGTCAGGCGCTCCAACCAGGACACATTCTCGGACTGTGTCTACCGCGACGACGTCTTCGGTGAGGTCGCTGCCACTGGAAATATCGGGCTCCGGCAAGGCGAGAGACTGGCGTCACCCAACCACGTTGTCCCAATCAGATTGCCGACAAGTAGTAGTTGGCGCTCTCGAGGAAGTCGTGAAAAGCGTCAATGACGATTTGACCAAGCATAACAGAAGCCGAGATGCCGATGGACATATCAAGATCAATGACGATGCCTTAAATCAAGAAATGAAGCAAGATAACGTGTTACGTGAGGGGGTCAAGAGATGGCTGCTCAATGTTGAAACGAGGAGTGTGTGGTAGGAAAACTGGAGGGATGGACATATTATGAGTGACGATATTCCCCTGCCCACGGCGACGATACCCTTTAGAGCGCATGTATTATTAGTACCTTAGAATTTAGATGAACCTGCGACACGAGGTTGTACCAATCAATAACAACGGCTTTTGACATGAATGAGAAGGGAAAGAATCGAGCCTCTCCCTTGGCCAG